GACTGACTTTAGCCCACTAATTCCATTAGAGTATTGCTCTATACAGTGGATCCCCCCCGCCCCCCATGTATCATGAAAAAATGCCGCCCCGGGCGGCTGCCCGGTTCGCCCGAGCCAAAAACCGCTACTGATGGTGTCTGAATGAGAGCAATGTTCCCGCAGCCGTGTTCCGCCGTCTAGCCTTGCCAGAAGAGTGGAAGAAAGGACTGATGCCTTAATGCCCATGGTTTTGAAATTAAATGCCCATGGTTTTGCTCAACAAATACATGTGGGTGTCGTGTTCAGGTGTCCACACACTTTTGGCCATGTGGTGTACAGAAATGAAACATGTTTGTTTTTATATGTATTTATATATATATATATATATCAGGGCTGTTGCTTTAACGCTTTAATCTAATTAATTAGTTTAATACACACACACACACACACACACATATATATATATATGAAATTGTTCAAGTTTCTAACAGGTTTAATGTGTTTTTACTTCATATGACATTATATTTCATATATGGAAATTGTATGTACATACATTTGCATATGGGTACTTCCACTACATTAAAAAAAATGGATTGTTATTTTGAAGTAAAGAATTTGAGACATGCTCTGAGCCCTGATAAACAATGTCTGATTGGTGAACAAATCATTCATTGAATTTCTTTCAATGAACTGATTCATAAATCACATTTAATGATTTATTTGTGAATTCAACTGATCCGATTGCCCCAGTTCACAACACACTTATCCAATGATCCGGGCTGATCAAGTCTCAAGTTAACAAATCACTGAATTGGTCTTGTTTGACTCAAAATGAGCCAACCAGGAATAATATGATCCTCAGAGCTCAAGTGTTCTGACATCTAAAAATTCATTATAATGTCAGACTAAGCTCTAACCCACTCTATCCTATCTGTATGACTGGGGCATTAGACCCCTCTCTTTTAGGTATTTTGAGTAGGAGAATGAAGTATATGAAATAAAATAATAAATAATACTTTTGCACTTTTGTACTAAGTCCACATAAGCCCAGGCAGGCCGTGAGTTACCTGTAGCGGGTTCTTGGTGCTGATGGCGATGACCTGGTATTTGTAGTAGCAGAGTTCACAGCTCCAGGATCCTCTCTCACTAATCCACTTAATAAGACAGGGCTCATGAGTGCAGCGAACAGAACCACTACAGCGACACGGGCTCAGCAGCTCCCCCTGCAGGACACAACACATGCTCACATTAGCAGTAGCTAATCTCCCCCCACTTTTCAAATACTCCCGAAACCCCTGTACATGAACACCAGGCTTGTTGATAAATAAGATAAGATGCAACAATATATTTTCCTTCCACTTTGAATAAATGCGTACGAATGCTTGTTTCCACCATGGGATTAAAACATAAAAAAATGGTAATTGCAAGGGTTAACGTCACAATTTTTACCTTTTTTTTTTTTTTTTACAATTCTGTCAGAATTCCAAGATATAAACTCAGACTACAAACTCAGAATTCAGACTTTTTTCTTGCAATTCTGATATTTTTTTCCCCCTCTGAATTGTGAGTTTACATATTGCAATTTAGAAAATGTTAATTTCAGGCTGGTTTAAAGATATGGAAACTTGTTTCTGCCACAGAATAAAAAAAAAAAAGTGATTGCAACTTTTCATCTCACAGTTCCTTTCTTCTCAGGATTGCAAGTTTATTTCTCACAAATTCTGACTTTATATTTTGCAATTCTTACTTTTTGTCTTTTTGCGAGAAGAAAGTTTGTGAGATAAAAAGTCGCAATTTAAAAAAAAATTGTATCCCGTTGCGGAATATCTTTCCATATCTTTGAGTCAGCACAAATTGAAATTTTTAAAATGCATGTTATTGATCTTCATTTGTGCATATGTTTCTTTCTTCTTCTTTTTTTCAGGACTCCAATCATTTAATTTTCTTAAACCCCGCCCCTGCAAGCTTGTGTTCATCTCAAAATCAACCAACAACCAATGCACAGAACCAAGTCCTCACCCTTTGTTTTTTTTCTTTTTCAATAATCCCATAATTTCCATCACAGGATGGAAGATCTGTCACTACTTCCATTTCATTGTGACTTTCAGGGGTGGTCACATTTACAAAATCCAGTCTTTTTAAAAGGAAATCCATGCCATTAGGTGTTCAAAAAAAGCTCCCCTTGCACAAAAGTTAGTCAATTCGCCGAGCTGACCAACTTCTGTGTGAGTTGTGCTTTACACATCTACACTACTGAAAATAGACAACGGAAAATAGACTTTTTTTGCACAATCGCTATTTAAAATGTATTTAAAATATTTATAAAGTTAATCTTTTTTTTTTTCAACAAATAAAATGAATTATAAATTCATAAATATTAAAACAATTTTGGCCTTTTTTTTTTTTTTTTACAATTCTGTCAGAATTCCAAGATATAAACTCAGACTACAAACTCAGAATTCAGACTTTTTTCTTGCAATTCTGATATTTTTTTCCCCCTCTGAATTGTGAGTTTACATATTGCAATTTAGAAAATGTTAATTTCAGGCTGGTTTAAAGATATGGAAACTTGTTTCTGCCACAGAATAAAAAAAAAAAAGTGATTGCAACTTTTCATCTCACAGTTCCTTTCTTCTCAGGATTGCAAGTTTATTTCTCACAAATTCTGACTTTATATTTTGCAATTCTTACTTTTTGTCTTTTTGCGAGAAGAAAGTTTGTGAGATAAAAAGTCGCAATTTAAAAAAAAATTGTATCCCGTTGCGGAATATCTTTCCATATCTTTGAGTCAGCACAAATTGAAATTTTTTAAATGCATGTTATTGATCTTCATTTGTGCATATGTTTCTTTCTTCTTTTTTTTTTTCAGGACTCCAATCATTTAATTTTCTTAAACCCCGCCCCTGCAAGCTTGTGTTCATCTCAAAATCAACCAACAACCAATGCACAGAACCAAGTCCTCACCCTTTGTTTTTTTTCTTTTTCAATAATCCCATAATTTCCATCACAGGATGGAAGATCTGTCACTACTTCCATTTCATTGTGACTTTCAGGGGTGGTCACATTTACAAAATCCAGTCTTTTTAAAAGGAAATCCATGCCATTAGGTGTTCAAAAAAAGCTCCCCTTGCACAAAAGTTAGTCAATTCGCCGAGCTGACCAACTTCTGTGTGAGTTGTGCTTTACACATCTACACTACTGAAAATAGACAACGGAAAATAGACTTTTTTTGCACAATCGCTATTTAAAATGTATTTAAAATATTTATAAAGTTAATCTTTTTTTTTTCAACAAATAAAATGAATTATAAATTCATAAATATTAAATTTTTGGAGAGTCTTACAAGGTGACATTTCACAACCTAAACTGACCTTGCCTTTTTACAAAAAGGTCAAATTAGCTGATATTTCCTGACAAGTTTTTCAAATAATAATTAGCAGTGAAGCAGTTACGACATCCTCATTATTATGGCAGGACAGTGTTGTATCGTCCTAACAATTGAGACTTTATGCCCCCTAAAAATATCAAAAGACTTCAGAAACATGCTCATCATAGAAGAGGTATATTCAAGCCATTGTAGGCATGAATTGCATTATTAATGTATTTTCAAATAAATTAATAGATCCAGTCCAAAACATGAGTGTCACATCATTGACCCATCCATTAGTTGAACAAATTATTAATGAGGACCACTTAAGAGTTACTTGGGTAATGTCCTAGTGACCTTCACAAAAACCGTACCCACGGGACATTAATTTGGGAAAGATGGTTTAACAGTGTAGCTTGTCTTGTTAAGAAACTGTCCCCAGTTTGACTTCAATAGATAATAAAAACTCCAGAATCTCTTTTCAGCACACACAGGGACATAATTTGATTGATTACTGCTTTGCACTCCATGTGAATCATGCATAAACTGAGACAACAAACCTACTGCCTCAAAATCGCACGTCCACTGCAGGCTTAAACATTTCAAGTGCTGCATGTCAAAACATCTTCACAGAAGCCTCACAGCAGTATTTACAATATTTCAAAACAGCACACATTTCAAACGTGCCTCTAGTGAGATTTGTGTGGGTGATGTGTTTATTTTGAGCTCATTTAACCAGTATGAAGAATATCTATACATCCGTCCGGTACTGTCAAAATGACAGAATTAATTGCACAAGAGTGAACATTCATCATAGCAAATTCCATTGCTTTGTAAATAGGAACCAGACACAATGACGGCATCTATCATTTGGCCTTACAAACACATACACATACACACACCATAATGAGGGATGATCAGATAAAAGCATCTGTTTGGTCCCTGGCAACAGTGCGCCGGGACTTGCTCACTGTTTGGAGCTGCGTCAAACTGATCCCTATGGCACTGATAGAAATTACCTTCCTGCACTGATCAGATTCGGTGCACTGCCTGTTTTATATTGCTTCAGTTTAGCACCTATAAGGGGTACTGAATTTCCATCAGCATAAAGTATGAATTATTTACCCACAGCGTTCTCAGAAGGAGATATTTAGGGAGAGATCAGGATGGCAACTCAAATTCCCTTCAAGTTGTGCAGGGTATGAAAACACAGATCACTGGAGCTCTGAGGAGCGGCGCTAATGAGCGTCGTTTCCAGCAGTCGGCTTGATGTCCCTCACTGAACTGACAAACTCATTTAGCTCTACATGCGCAGGGCTTTGTCCAACTCTTTAACATGACGCTTATAACAGCTCCTGAAGGTTTTCTTCTGATTAAAAGAATCACACTTCAACTGATGTCTTAACGTTTAAAGGGTTAGTTCACCCAAATTAGCCTGAATGAAAATTAGCCTGTGTTTTACTCACCCTCAAAGCATCCTAGGTGTATGTGACTTTCTTCTTTCAGACGAATCCAATCGGAGTTATATTAAAAATTGTCCTGGCCCCTCCAAGCCTTTCAATGGGGGTAAGCGGGTGTTGGTTGTCAACAGTTCAGAAGACGTGAAATAAAGTGCGCGCATCCATAATAAAACGTCCCGCACACGGCTCCGGGGGGTGAATAAAGGCCTCCTGTAGCGAATCCATGCTTTTTTGTAAGATAAATATCCATATTTCAAACATAATAAACACTTTTTTCTCACTTCTGCTGACTGTCATAAGTGGAATCCGTTCCGGCAGTTTCCGCTTACCCCCATAGAGAAAGGAAAACTTGAAATCGCATCATATGACCCCTTTAATGTCTTCTTTGCAAAGAGTAAGCATCATCATCATCATTACGCCATCTTAATCATATTTCGACCCCGCTTGAACATTGTGACACCCTTTGGATATCATTCAACAACTTGACATCTTTACGTCATGACACTGTGAAAAACGGAAATAAAATAAAATGACCTTCAAATACACAGCGTGTGAGTGTGTTTCCGTTCATATTACAGTTTAACCAAGTCGGTAGCTTACTGAACAGTAACAGTCAATAACACAGTTATTGACAATTTGCATTAACTTGCAAATTAACAGATGAAATCCAAAGAATAAACAAACATAGGCTACGGTGTGAACTTTCTAACATTAGGAGACATTTGTAGGCATTTTTTCTAATTATCTTCTTGATCAAAAAGCTCTCAGTTTGTTCTGACATTCACATGGCTAGCTATATCACGACAAATTCAACTAACATCACACATCGTTCACCTGTAGGTGTCACTGTTACCCAGTTTTGCAATACTCGAATACAACTTACAAATGAACATTCATAATATATTACACAACATTTGTGAACAAAATACGTTTTCCACAAAGTAAATGACTTAAATATTTAGAAAGAAAATACATCTTTACCTGTGACAGCTACAACGCTCATTCACAAACTGCTGAAAACTCAGTCCCGATCTGGCTTACATTTAAGCAGCTGTTTATCTGGTCTCATGGGAAAAATGTGAGAATGTAAAACCTGAAATATGTTGCTCCAGGTACAAACTGCTGCACTTTACAGTTTTACTCTTATTGACACAAATCACGACTAAAGGCGAAAGTAATTCTTACTCATTTTTTTGTCTGTTCCTTAAATAAGTGTGTTGCATGGCTTTTGAATAAGTAAAATGTAGTGTAAAAGTTGAATGATTTTTTTGTTTTGTTTTGTGTCAACTATTCCAATGCAAAACTTTTGTCGTAGACCTAATTTAAGATTTTAATGTAGCTTTTCTAAGTGAGCATGGCACTAATGGCAATGCTAAGGTCATGGGTTCAACTTCCA